TTTGCAACAAAGACGGAAAAAATGTGTTCGCGCAGAAAATTTACGTTAGGTTAGTTCGAGTTGGATTATTTCAGAAAAATATACGATTTTCTGTTATGGTGAAGAATGGATGGTCATTAAAACTACGAGAGGTCTCTTTGATATTGTACTCCATGCTCAAGCGAAGAAGTGAAAAGTTATGCGATGAGCATGGAGTCCAAGATCTTGGACGAGATGAGCGAGCAAGTATATCAAGGGTGAGCCTGCAGTCCAATATCTTGGATGCGATGCTGAAAAATCACAAAAACAGCTACAATTCAATTTTTTTAAAATTTTCACCCTAAAAACAAAAAATACAAGAGACAAGAAACTTTAGTTAAATTACCGTGAGAAAAAAGGCGACTGACAGGACCAGCGGACACCCGCTGCACTTCATCGAAACTAGAACTCCCATGGTCTCACTTCTGATCAGAGACGATTCCTTTTATGGAGCCTTTTTACCTCTATCCACGGGCACATGAATTTCTCACTGTTCCTTTTTTTGTCTGGCCTCACGGTACGGCTCTCTGCGTTTTGAGAGTATGTGACGTTAACTCTACCGTGCCAAGGAAAAACGCCGTATGAGCCTCCAGGCGTTGCCAAATTTCCTTTTATAAATCACGATTTTTCGGTGAAATTTGTAAATATTTTTCTTCCAGTTTTTCAGATAATTTTGTTCGCAATTTCACCTGAAGTTCCGGAAAATTTCCAGGGTAAATATCCATAGCTTTCCTCAAAAATAAACATTTTATCGAAGGAAATTTGACAACTCTCTAATTTTCATACGGCGTTTTTCCTTTACACGGCAGAACTCCCCCCCCCTTCCCCCTCAAGCACAGACAAAATGTTGCAACGAACAGGCAGGGAACCGTCAGAACTACTGCACTGCCTACCAAGCGTCAAGCTATAATACTGAGAGGAAAAATTGTATCACGTTGGGACGCAGTGCCAAATCTCTCCCATAAAAGTCTTGATTTCCTGAGCTTTTGATGGACTTTTTTTCTAAATGTATGGAAAATATAAATCGCGCTTTATTCTAACGTATTTGAAACTTTTAAAGCAAAATCTTCATGGCTTTGATAAAAAATGAATAACTTTGAATTATCCTTCTTATTTTTGAATATTTATGCGTTTTTGAAAGTGAATGTTTCATCAGAGGAGCTGTGACAACATTTAAATGGTCAAACATTGTTTCCCCTTCCCCAACTGCACAGTGACGTGTAAAATATGTTTTAAATAAAGAACTCTAAAAGTAATACATTTTTCAAATATTTTTTTAAAAATAATTAAAAAAAAATATGAAACAATAAAATATTACAAAACTGACTTTGACCTTGACACGTTTAAAGAGATAAAAAACAGTGACATGCAGTTGAAAATATAAACATAACAATGAGATTTTTTTTAAAACAATTAAAGGGTGTTTTTTTTAAAAAAAAAAAAAAAAAGTGGGTTATTCAAAAGCAACATGTAAGTATTTTTATCTCATATTTTGAACTAAACATTCAAAAAAAATATTTTTTTTTTTTTACACATATAAAAAAAGGAATACCAGAAATGATAATACCCAAGTTATATTCTAAAATTGGCGAGAAACATTGTTTAATCATTTCGTAAATAAGTGTTTTTCAGAGATTAACGTGAAATTTTTTGAAAATAAATTTGTTTCCCAGTGCTATCATGGTCGTGTAGACAGTTGAAATTTGATTTCAATTTTTCAATCTGACATTCGAGCAAAGGATAGACGCGTGTGCTCGGCGCTATTTTTGATTTTTAGGTGCCCGTAAAATTTGAACTTGTCACGTAGCGTCTGGTGCACTAACATCACTTCGCTTTTTCTTTCTTTGACGTCATTCTAAAGAAAATTTACATTGCCATTCAGAGTGCTGAGTACTTCTACTTTTTACCTGGAAACACGTCAACGATTTAAAGAGGAAAGCATTGATTTGTAACTCTGGGGGAATTTTTTTTAACCACTCATAACTGTTACCTGGAAGTTCCACAATAATGATATTACGCTTTACTTTAATTTAGTTTTACAATTGTCTCTTGTCGAAAAAGCTGTGATTCTGTGGACTGGGTTGAAGGATGAAGGTCACACCATGAAACGTGTTCGATGAAAATTGGACAATTTTTTTCCATTGCCCAATAATTTTCTCGACTGAATAATTCATTTGTGAGCGACTATGAGATGGTTTTTGCTTCCTGCTGAGATGCGGCAAACGACAAGCAACGTACACCAAGGAGTGTCACCTCTCAACTATCTCAACGTCAACACCGCGCTTTTGAAACTGATTTCCTCTTATCACTGCTATCACTGCCATTGTATTTTTGTCTATACTTATTTTTGTAATGTATATATTTTACATATTTTTCCTTTATGTACATGAGCTACTCATTTGAATTTTCGTGAAGCTTCTGTTTGTGTCAAAACAGAATGCTTCCAAGGATGCAAGAAGTATCAGTGAGAATCTTAGCCAGGAAGATCATAGTACCGTTGCCATGTTGTGAAGGCTGATAGATCCATTCTTCACCGTCATTGATATCGCTCTCCTTTCTATTCCGTTACACTACTATTACACACATTACATTTTGCCATGTCATCCACCCATCATGATTTGTCTCTGGTTATGATGGCTAGATTAGTTCCTCTTTTCTTACCATTTCATACATGTTCCGCAATACCTGATAAAGTTCGAATTGAGAGCAGCAAATACTGATGCTTTCCTCCTAAGCAAACTGGGTTTTCATCCAGCAATATTGATGCTGAACTACTGACAGGATCTCAATATCATTAGACTTGATGTCGTGATGCAATTTTGACTCATTGTTCCTTAACATTCCTAGAAACTTGTAAGCAACATCGCAGTATCATCATTTGAACGATTAGTTTGACAAAAATGCAATAAAGTGCATTACTTATAGTAGGAATATGTGAATACATAACACCAAGGTGTTAAGAAAGATATTTATTAGATTATAGCCGAAGCTTTTGGATCCTTGCAATCATTATCAATGCTAGGTGCATTGTGGAAAAAATGACTTGGGAGTAGTTTTGCATCAAACAAGAGCCTTAAATTTTTCTCTGTCAAAATATTTTTAACGTTGCAAAAAATCCTCAAACTTGGTCCTCATCATTGTAGAGGATTAAACCTTTGAATCTATTTCCTACGGTTCAAGTTTGGTGCATCTACATTACCTAAATACTTAGCCCATGTGTAATTGAGCCCGGCAGAAAAGGACCTAAAGTTTGAATCGTATATTCATGGAGGTATTTAGAAGGGGAACAGAAAATAGGTAAAGCCCAATTCACACTATCAAAATTTTCATCCAATATAATTGGACGAAAAGTAGGATGGAAAGTTGAATGCAAAAAAATGTCATTCAATTACTTTCTGTTCAACTTTCCATCCAATTGGAGGCGCCACGTTGAATGTGACATCACATTCAAGCTTCTGTTCCGTTTTTCATCAAATTGTCTTTTATCGCGTCAGTAGCACACTATCCAACTTTCAATCTAACTTTTCGTCCAATTAGGCATGTTGGATAAAAAGTCTGTGAATTGGGCTTATAGTGATAACTTTGGTCATGGTTTTTGATAATTGAAAATTGTGCGCTTTCACCTTGAGCCCCATTTTCCTTGATTGTTACTTATACATCACATTTCTATCTACATTCCCACCACGAAACATGTTGGCATGCTAGAATCCAAGCATGAGTATTTCAGGAGCTACTTTTAAAATCAGCAGTGGATTCTGCAATTTTTGTAACCCATCACTTTCTCAAGTCGACCAAGTGATAAGTAAGTAACATCTGCTTGAAAGCATTGGCAGGAGCAGGTACTACCTACTTAATAGAGATTTCAGAGTTAAAATCAAATTGACGAGGTCAGAGACTTTTTTCGAAATACTTACCAGCAGCCCGCAGGTATTTGATGTGGCTAAGCTGGTTAATCGGAGTTCACTCATCCCATCAAACAAGTGGGCCATTTTTATTTGAAGAAAAAGTTTCCGGCCTTAGCCATTTGATCAAGGATGCCTAGATGTCTTTGACAGGGAGACTGTCGATCATATTGCAAAAAAAACCGAGATGCCCTGCTTTTATTTTTTTTCTTCAATAAGCATACTGAGAGCAATTAGTCAAATCTCATTTGATTTGTAATTTTCCCCCAATTGCAAAAACGGTAGGAAGCTGATCAGCAGCATCATGAAAAAATTTAAAGCCTAATGTGTCACTTTCTTACAGGAGATCAAAGAAATAAAATGATACATAACATAAGCTTTTTTCAATGATGCCCATACACAGAGGAAAAATGTGTCATTGGCGTTATTCACGAGAATATCTGGTTAGTTCCAAAATTTTCACAATCACTTGGACGAGTCGGAGTTCATTGAATGATGCTCATTTTCCTCTAAGAGTAAATTGTGAACAGTAAAACAATTATTGGCTGTAAAGAAATTAATGAGCGAGATGAAGTTTCACTTACAGTTTACAAGATTAATCGCTTTAAAGAGGGGAAAGGAAATTCAACATTTTTGTATACAATTCTGATATATTAAAGTTAAAAACTTGTGAACACACTTGCACCATCAATATGACCTCTCATTCTTAATTGAGGGTGGCTGAATCCTTTACTGAGTTGTAGGAGAATCAATATCAAGAATTGCTGGTTGAATCTTTGGCTCTTATAATGATGTCTCTCATAAAAACATATAGATCCAGAATATTAGGGCCCAAGAAGGCGAACCTCCAGTAAGAAACAAGAATGAGCAAAAATTTATACATTGCGGATTGTTAAGTTGAAGTGTGACAGGTATTTTGTCAATGCAATTAAAAGATGTTTCTTTCTGAAGAATCCGATGATTCAACTCCTCAATTTTTATCCACTCATCAAACAGCATGATATACAAGTACTATGCAGTTTGAGCGTAAAGAACAAAAAATTGATTGATACTAATTGGCTGTAAAAGAAACACAATGCGATGAATAGGGGTAAGTACAACTTAAGTTTTGAACTTTTGCAACAGAACTATGAAAGTGACACGAAAACTAGAGAACCTGGATTGAGTGAATAGCTTTGAATATGAATTTCTAGTACCGAACTAATCTGGCTAAGAAAAAATGAATTATTTCATGAAATTTTAGGATTATTATGTCGTCCTAGAATTGCCCATGATTGCACTATTGTTATCAGCATACCAGCCCTTATCTCTGTTATCAAAACTATCTGTTTATAACCTCACAAACAGCTTCTCAGCGGTTTGTGGTTTGTGCAGAAAATTGAAGGTTTTTCGGTGAAACTCGTTTGCCGTATCTCGGCAGGGAGGGTCGTCTTGCAAAGTGCCTTATTTTAGATTTTGATTTTCACTCCCGTCTGTATTCACCCTATTGAAAACTTAATCGTTTTGTTCCGTCAGCATCGAAGCAGGAAAATCAATTTCGGCAATATCTCACGGATGCTGATGTTTCCTCGATGAGCTTTATCCATTTACTTCTTTTTAAACCAGTTTATGGTCATACGTAATTTTTTAATGCCCTACCAGTGGGAATCCGGTTAATGAAGGTTTGCCCCTCTTTTGTTTAATTGAATTTTATCACTACTTGGGGTGATTGGAATAGCTCAATATGTGAGTCACTCTGCACTTAAAAAATTGACTCGACTCAAGCAAAAATAGCCTTGAATTTGCCGTTAAGAAAGTATTTCTCTTGAATCAAGAAGAAAAGATCCGTATATTAGGAAGAAAGTTGCTTGTATCAAGCAGAAACTTGCTTGATTCCAGCAAGTTTATTCTTGAACCTAGTGATAATTTCCTTAACGGCAAACCAATCCTTTTTTCCCTAATGAAAGTCTATGTTCGCGCACTCCTTTTTCTGGATACTCTCTTTCTCCATACCTCTTCATTCCCCTTTTTACAATATTTTTTATTTGTGGGGATGAGGAGGGGGGGGGGGCTTTTCATTTTCCAAGCTAAATTTTTCTCCTCTAAAGTCAGTACAGTTAACGCTCTCGTAGTTTCACAGTAAAAGCAACTGACGCACTCATATAGTTCCCGTGTGAAAATGCATTTTTTTCCTCTTTCACTCAGCCTGAAATGTCCGAAGTTTTGCGTCATTCGAATGCGGAGTTGAAAGCGAAGTTAAAAAAGAATTTAATTTTAGCAAACCACGAGTACAGTTCGTGAAACGGGACGAATGTAAGTGAAGGAGCGATAAAAGTACGCAAAAAAAGTATACTGAGTAACTTTCATCGCCTCAAGAGATCCGACGGTTCAAAAATAGAATTTTTTTTTTTTTCAAATTTTTCAGGGTTTCCCCGATGCGTTGGAATCTTTGCTGGAGAAGAACATAACAAAAACAATCAGACCTCTCGGAATTTGAAGTTTTTGTCATTAATATCGTCCTGTAGAGAAAAATTTGCAAATATTGGTTTTTTTTCCATATATGCACTTTTTCCATAGTAGTATGAAATCGCGTATCTCGATTACAGTGTCTCCAAATTTCTGTTTTCGTCGTTTCCCGCCACGAAAAATGGCGCCGATTCCCATGGCGCTGTGCGGGCCTTTACCAATGGATGCATGGATACGATGGAAAACGACGGGAAAGAGCGTCCACTACTAACTTGGTGAACGCTCAAAAAAAATTATCGGCGGCTTTCAGAATTTTTTTTTTCAGTGAACAGTAAAAAGCTTCATACGGGATGTCGGAAAAATAGGGAAAGTGCTTCCTGATTGATCCATCTATATCGAGAAAAAGTTTTTATCCTACTTTATTCGCCTACATACGTCACATCAATCGGGCTTTTAAAGTGTCACTCAAAATATGTGATTTGCATCGGTGGCCAGGCGTGAATGATCGACTATCGACATTTCCCCAGTTGAATGTATGGTAAAGATTCGATTATGAAGGTGTTCGTCGCGAACACCCTGCTTATCACTCTTTTTCCATATGTTTAAACGGCAGATCAATCGATACATCGCAAAGCACACCACGTTACTGATTTGCATACTTTTTTATAACCGTGCTGAACCAGAACGCTGCGTGAACTTTCGAAAATTGGCACTTGTTCCTCGAAAATAATTTATTTTTGAGAGAAATACAGATGTCTTTCCTCGAAATTTTCTGGTACGCTGAATACAATTTTAAACAAAGCCCGCGTTTACTCTGAAAAATTCCAAGAAACATGTAAACGTTTTCCAAGGAACCAGTATTTTATTAGAGACAATTTGGCAGCAACGATATGCTCGTATGACGCACGGAGGGCGATTCAATGAGGAAAGTTTGACATGATACAGAAACCTTCAAAGCTCATATTTTCGTGAAAACACAACTTAAATATTTAAACGTGTTTTCATTGGCTTTCTCACAGAAAACCCTGCAGGAAACGCTTCTTCAAACTTACAATGTGACATAATATCGTTAGAATCTGTTTTTTAAGCCAAAACACTCACGTCTTATTGCCTCTCAATGTTGAACCTCTGTGCGGCGCTCCTCCTCAGCTCGACAGCAGAGCGCCGATCTCAAATTCCTTTCTCCATTCCTTCTTTCATTCCGTTTGTTCCTTGTCGGACCCGTAATTCCCTGGTCCATTCCAGATTATAATCTTTGCAATCGGTGAAAATGCAATCTCTCTTCCCGTTTGTGACACTGTGAAAGCCTAAAATACGGGAACCAATCAGAAATGGATTCACATTGTCTAAACTCTCAGTATAAAGGGACTCTAAGTGTACCCTCTTTCGTAGTCCTTGGAATAGAATTTCGGATTCAAAATATCTGTCACAGGTCCATTCAAATTTTATTGAATGAAATTCGAAAATTTGTAGAAATCGTCGCTCTTATGACGTAAGGGTGTATCTCAATTTTCTCGTGAGCCCTGTCTCACATATAAGTCCATGCTTTCTGGGGCTCATCCCGACATCGAGATACGCCCTTACGTCAGAGGAGCGACGAAATGTGGCCCAGTATCCCCACGTCTTAAAATCGTTCTTTTGTTAGAATTAATTAAATCTGACTTGTTTGATTTATGTTCACAGTTGGACCCGGTTCTAATCAGGGAGCTGCGGCCACCCGTAGTAGCATATACAAAGAAAAAGGGGTGTTTTCGTGCGAGCTCTGCGGCGCCACCTACAGCCACTATCGGAACCTAATATCCCACCGCAAAGCCCACACAGGCGAGACGTACTGTTTGCAGTGCAATAAGAACTATTCGAATAAGCAGGGGTTCATGAAACACCTGGTCATGTGCCATGGTTACAGCACCTCACAGCTGGCTGCGCTTCGCTCCCCCTTTTTTCCCATGTCTGACGTCAGTTAGAAGTCTCTTCATCTGTATTTTTAACACACGGAAAAAAATCGTATTCGAAATCCCACCTGCGCATTTTTGTGCTCTTTCTATGAAGGAAAAATGTTATAAATCAATTGAGTCTCTCAGTTCGAAAGCTACCCATCTTGGAAAAATGGAATTTTTTAGGAGGCGATACTTATGTTAAGGTGATTCGACGGTTGCCATTTTTTGTGTCAGAGCGACGTGCGATATATCGCATCAATTCGTTCCATAATTTCAGCTAATTGACATTTTTATCACATTTTGAGATCACACTTCTGTTGTCATGAGACTAAAGAATTCATGTACCAAATTTGACAAATAAATTCAATGTAATAAAGGCAGGGTTTTTCAGAGGAAAAATATAGCATCCGAGTGCAGTTTCGATATCAGTATCGAATGCTATATTTTTCCTCTAAAAAAATCCTGCCTTTATTACGTTGAATTTCTTTGTCAAATTTGGTACATTAATTCTTTAGTCTCATGACAACAGGAGCACGATCTTAAAATTTGATAAAAATAACAAGTAGCTGAAATTTTGGAACGAATTGATACGATATATCGCACGTCGTTCTGACACGAAAAATGGCAACCGTCGAATCACCGTAAAATTTTCTCGTGGGGGGCCTGTATAATAAGGATATCAAAATTTTATGAACAATTTCAAAAGCCCAGTGTAACAGCCAGAAAAGGAGTGTTTCTACACAAAACATGAATATCGTAAAAATCCCGAGTTGGGTCGTTTTCGAACTGAGAGATTCAATTGCGATTATACACCAAAATGGAAAATTCCAACAGAAAGACAATTATTTAAACTTTCACATTGATGCACGAGTCATTTTTCGACTATTAACAAATAATATAACAATCGTAATTTCTTCGACTTATTTTTCTTCTTATTTTAAACATTTTGTTGAGTAGGCTTTTTTTGCTTCTTTTCATTCGAGGAACTGCATTTCATGACGGTGGCTATTTTCAGTTTTTCGTGAAAGCAATTATTCTGTATCATTTAAACCTATAACTAATGTCACACGATCAAACTGTGCTATCAATATATCAAGGTTAAATGCTGCGATTGGTCCAAGTCGTTCAATAAGCCAATCGCAATACCTGACCATGATATATTGATAACTCGGTTTGATCGTGTGACAAGAGCTAATGGAAAAGGATCGAATATCGATTCTTCATCATATCTTCAAATGATAATGTATCGATTGTCGCCGATTAACGACTAGTTACATCAAATTATGTATTTATTGTAGTATACTTTTTGAGGTAGCTTGAAGATGCTTCTTCTTGCGCTGTTTGTGAAGTTTAGAGTAAATTTTAAGCTTTCCCGATAAGCTCTTCGTGATTTCTAGACCATTTTTCTTGAGAAACAACTCTTTTTCTCACTGTAGCGAAAATGTGCGTCAACATTTTTTTTGGAAAAAAACCAGTCTTTGAGAAAATTGGGTCATTGGATTCGCTTCTGCCTGTCTAGCTACTGATGTCCGCCTAAAATTGTCCTTTTGCTTGATCTCAGGTATCATAATCGGTGACTTTTCTTAAACTGAAAGGTATTGTTATTACATAAAAAATGTCCAATGGTCTACTCAAAGTTGTTTTAGAAGGTGCTATATTTTCCCCCAATTTTTAAAGAGTAGAGATTCATTTGAGACCTCATTCTGATCCTTCAAACCTCAGGTAAAAAGGTGTCTATGAGGCACCATTTTCAGCGAAATTTTTCATGTATTCCAATCCCAAAATATGTATTTTGCTTCTCCATTAAATTGTTTTCCTGATCTTTTGAATGCACATAAGATCTCACATTCCTCATATTTGTGTATCATCTCCAAATTTTATCGGTTTGTATTCCTATTATTTTTACTTTTTACTCAAGTGTACTCTTAATTTTTTACTTTCAAATAAATTCTGTCAAACAATTATAAAATGAGCTATAGTTTCTCTTGATTTTTTTCAAACCGAAAAGTGTTAAACCATAAGGTGAACCCAATGATAAAATTGATAAAACCCGGGTGCTTGGTACAGAGCAGAGGACTCATATACAGGCTCGGACTGGCCATGGAGGCCAATCTGCCATTGGCAGATAGGCCTAACGCGCCCCTTGACAGATAGCAAAATAAGAAGAGAAAAGAAATTACGACCGCGAATATATGCGGAAAATTTCTTAAATGAACGGAAGAAGAGAGAGTTAGGAGTAGAGAAAGGGGCTTTCTCGCATGACAATGATGAACAGAGGTCCAAGAACTACTTTCTGAAGTATAACTACTTTTCTGTGAAATTTTCACCTTTTTGTCGACATACAGGCGCTTTTTATCACCCCTCCTTCATTCGCTTTGTGTAACTCTCTTAGAAACGAAGGTCTGTTCGATTTAAAGACATACGCACCCTTTGTAGACCTCTTGAGAGACCTTTAAACATATTTCTTCCTTTTTAAAATGACTATTGATTTGGACATACCCTAGAATATCTCAGGCAAACATACCCTTCATTTATCTCGAAATTCAAAAATAAGAGGCATCTAAAGTGTGAACGCGATATGACGATTCGCGCAAGATGGTTGTCCATATTGCATATGAAAAATGTAAGACGCAATGGCGTGAGTCGTGAACTCATAATACTCTGCTCTACGCTACTATTTTGAAGCTCCACTACGAATAAGACAAACGCAAACGAACACAATATGGAAATAAAGCGAGGGAAGGGCTGCGCGTCTACGACGTCGCAGAGATACAACTATTCGTACTTGAAGGACGTCCGTGCTGCGTCTGAAAAATTGAAGGCGCGATGACGCGAAGCGTGCGCTCTCAATGCTCTGCTATATGCTGTCAATGAGGTGTCGCTCAGATTCGGAAGAAATGTCAAAAAAGAGGCCCGAACACATCTCTCCTACCTTCGGCTGTGTTACTCACATAGTGCTTGAAGCATCATTACGAATAAGATAGACGCAAACAAACACAATATGGAAATAAAGCGTGGGAAAGAATGCGCGTTTACGACGGCGCAGAGATACAACTATTCGTACTTGATGGACGTCCGTGCTGCGTCTGAAAAATTGAAGGCGCGATGACACGAAGCGTGAGCTCTCAATCCTCTGAAATATGCTGTCAATTAGGTGTCGCTCAGATTCGGAAGAAAAGTCAAAAAAGAGGCCCGAACACATCTCTCTTACCTTCGGCTGTGTTGATACTCGTTCTTTCTTCTTTTTTCAGGTTCTTGTCTGATTCTTTTTTAGGATGGAATTGCAGACCCACGCCCTAAGCTCGTGTAAACCGCAGCACTGGCTCGGTCTTTTTTGGAAATAGTGGTGCTTGGATGCGCCTTGTGACTTTTATTAGTTATGTTTGTTTTTTTTATATTCAGAAGTCTGTCGGTTACTTAGATGCGTTCAATTTTGCAATTTTTACTCTGTACGATCAATACACTTTGAATCTGAAAATAGCGTAAACTTGTGCTGCTTTGCGAAAATTTTCTGAACCCCTCTCCACGTAGGGCATGCCCTACCGGAAATGTCACATTACGCCCCTTGAACCAGCCAAGGGTCTACGCCCTCAGATGCGAGCCAGTCCGACCCTGCTCATATATACCCCTAACGATGCGTAAATGCAACTATTTCTGCTAAGCAGATGTCTGTGTTCCATATGCAAATCAGTGGAGGTTTAGAAATTCGCGTTTCAAAGGTGATTGATTTGCTGTGTTCCTCTTAATCCTGCTACTTGTGAGAAAATTGAAATTGAATAGCGAGAGTTTCGCGCTTCAGAAAGTCTGCCGTTTGTGGACAGTGTTGAAAGTAATTTGTTAAATTTTGAAGAAGAGTTTCAAATGATCTCTTTTTTGTTGCGATTGTTCTTTGCACAAACCTCCCCTATTTTCAGTGCCAATAATCTCCCTTTACCAGGGTCGGACTGGCTCGCATCTAAAGGTGAAGACCCTTGGCTGGTTCAAGGGGCGTAATATGATATTTCCTGGAGGGGCATCCCCTACGTGAAGAGAGGTTCAGAAAATCTTGGCCAAGCAGCACAAGTTTACGCTATTTTCTGGTTTAATCGCACAGAGTAAAACTTGCAAAAATGAATGTATTGAAGTAACCGACAGACCTCTGAAATTTAAGAAAACATAAAAAATTAAAGCATTTAGACGCATTCAATCACAATTTTTTCAAAAATCACCGAGCCAGTGCTGCGGTTTACACGAACTTAAGACGTGGGTCTGCAAATCCATCCCATAAAAAAATCAGACAAGAATCTGAAAAAAGAAGAAAGAACGAGTATCAACAAAGTCGAAGACAGGAAAGACGTATTCGGGCCTCTTTTTTGACTTTTCTCCCGAATCTAAGCGACACCTTATTGACAGCCTATAACAGAGCATTGAAAGCTCACGCTTCGCGTCATCGCGCCCTCAATTTTTCAGATGCAGCATGACCGAATGATTACCAAACATTGGCGCCTTCCATCCTCTTTGCTCCGTTTCTTCCTTCTTTCTTTCTCTCTTCCCTTATTCTTCCTCCATCCCCCCTCCCTCTTTGGACCCTTAGCCTTTGTTTAAGAGTGAATTTTTGAATCTTTCTCCGATTACCTTGATCAACAGATATCATTTTTCATTACTGCTTCGTTTTAGAAACAACATACGTGCTATTATTTCCCCCATTCGAATATGTGATTTTCTGGGTGTGTGAAATCTGCTTTTATGGACGAGCCAAAAATATTGGTCCTCTATGGCAAAATGCGGTCCAGTTTGCCCGTCGCTATACAGTTAAAAAAGTTATTGACTAGCCCAATTTACTTCTGTTTTAGCCAAAAGCCGTGTTGCCAAACGTGCGTACGCTTGCGACCTTTGCAACGCAAGTTACAGCCAGAGACGTAATTTGAGCGCTCACTTGAAGGCACACACCGGGGAAACTCATTGCCACCTTTGCAATAAGACTTATATGAAGAAACAGAGCTTGAATAGGCATTTGGCAAAGCACCACAGTGACAGTTTAGAGACGGCGGGCGTTGTCAAGCTGGAAAGTATGGAAAACTACGGAAGTAATACTGTGGCGTATTACGGAAGTAATACTCAAGGCTTTTAAGTGTACCGTCCGTCTCGAGAAGGTCCCAGTTTACTCCTCGCAGCGAGGTTTATCGTTGAAAATTGATGATGGTCCTAAATTGAACGTTTGTTTTCAAGAAACCTCCAGTTTAATAGGTCAGTTTCGCTACATTGTTATAAATCGAGGAGTGAAATTCGATGCCGGCGTCTATACTGCCGTGCCAAGGAAAAACGCCGTATGAACATCCGAGAGTTGCCAAATCTCCTAAGATAAAATGCTTATTTTTGAGGAAAGTTATGAATATTTTCCCCTAATATTCTCATAAACTTTAGGTGAAATTGCGATCAAAATTATCTGAAAAATTGGAAGAATTACATTCATAAGTTTATCGGAAAATTCGTGTTTTACCGAACTCTGGAAAAAAACACATTGTATCTAGAGTCAAGACTCTTGAAAACATTGACAAGTAAAAATACTCTTGATTCAATCAGATTTAAGCTCAAATCAAAAGAAAATCCGCTCAAATTAAGAGGCTAGGTTCTTGATTTAAGCTTAAATCTGATTGAATTAAGAGTATTTTTTCTTGTCCATGTTTTTAAGAGTCTTGACTCTAGATCCAATTTTTTTTCCAATGAAGGAAATTTGGCAACGCCTGAAGGCTCATACGGCGTTTTTCCCTAGCACGACAGTATATAGCGCCGAAAAACCGCGAGTGATATGAATGCGAAGTGAAACTAGCACCTTAAACGCACATGACACTCCGCAAAAAGAGAAGATTCCGCTCCGTAATTAGTGTGAGTCACTTCGTAATCCCGCTCTGCATTCATATCACTCAGCGTTTTTTGGCGCTATATATAGACGCCGGCACAGAATTTAACTCCAAAATACTTAACAGAGTAATCTCAGAATCGTGTTTTGATGGTTTTAGAATATATATCAACATGAAATGACAAGATGTATCCTAACATCAAATTACCTTATCAAATATTAACGGAGATATCGCTTTACAAAAAACATGTCTTCCACCGCGGTAACGCAAGCATGGTTTCGTCCACCTTCGGTTTCGTCCGAGTTTTTAGTCCAGCAACCAGTGCGAATGTGTTTATCACTGATATATCAATCCAAGTTGGAAGGTAGTCTATCGCGGTTGCTAGCATCATACACCATGCTTTTTGGAAGACGATGTCTCCGGTAATACTGGACGCAGAAGTTTGGTCGGCTCATATTATATTTTGCCGATCCAAAAAGCTTAATCCAGAGCAATTCGATTTTGCGACCAGCGCAATGGGTTTATTGCAAACGTCGCGTCAGCTGGAGCAAATAGAAGGGTTACCTCCTGTAGACAGTGGCTCAAAAACCACGATGAGCCCATCGGGAAAATCTGGATTTCACTCCTAACTTGATCATCTGCGTAAGAAATACGCGTTTCTTCAAGCTTCTCGCCTCAAAAACGATGCTACGGCACAAGTGAGCATTCTTTGAGAGTAGTTATTCCATCTAACTCTTACGCAATAGCCTGGTGCACAATATTCATGGCTGATGCTTCCGCGCGGAACTCGTGAGAAAGCACCATGGTCTTTATCAACGCAACGAAAATGTAAATATAAACACGCTACACGGTAGATCAAGTTAATTAGTGAAGTCGGACTTGAAATTCTGGTCTAAAACTACAAATTTTGATGTTTAATCTATCAAATCCTAAATTTTAAAGGGCGATTTAGGAAGCAAATTTCACGAGGAAACCAATGGGACAACTTTTAACATCTCAAAATTTTGTTTTGAGCTTTTAAAGTTTCCAAATTTTGTCCGACCCCTCCAATGGACTCGATCCACTCTGCGCCGGTTCATGAGATCCCGTCTCCTCGTGCGTGTATTTGCGGGTTGACGCCACCATGTTGAATTTAGCGTAGCATTTAGTGCAGAATGGAGTGAATTTAGTGCATTAGCAAGAATTGAGCTGTTGTGGGAGCACGTGTGAGGGATTTGCGATTTAAGTCCCGATTCATTCTTAGAATATTCCGAAATACACGATATTGCCCCTGCTTTTGTCTGAAATCAACTCCCAAGCTCAAAAAAAGCTCTCTAAGTTGAAGCCGTAATGGAGGGGATAACCCACGCTATGTTGGAAGTCTTCCTCTACATTAAGTCGCACTCTCAATGCATTGATAGGAAGAAAATACACTAGCAGGGCTGCACTCTATTTGGAGACTTTAAAACTGAAAACACGGCAACCCAGCTAATGTATTTGCTCCCTCTTTTTGCATAGAGAGTGCGACTTCCAATATAGCGTGGGATGTCTCCTTCATCATGGCTTCAACTTAGAGAGCTTTTTTTGAGCTTGGGAGTTGATTTCAGAGAAAACCAGTGGCACCGTCGTGTTTTTCGCGAAATTCTCCATTGGAATCAGTGCTTAAATCAGAAATTCTTCACACGTGCAACAGCTCCATTGGATAGAACGACCTCTCTTACGAGATGATCACTTGTGCGGCAGTATCATTTTTAAAGCGGAAAGCTTGAAATAAAAATATTACTCAAGGAGATTGTAAATTTAGGAGTGTATTTCAGCCTTTCCTGATGAGCTCATCGTGATTTTTGAGCTATTTTTTTTTTTTTGAGAAACTACTCTTCTGTTTGCTCTGGCTAAAGTTTTCAACAAGGTCACTGGTCCATTTAATTTCCCCCTCCACAGAAATCCATCCGAGAGGGAGGATTTTTAATTTAAATGACTATGCTAAAGTAAAACTTCGGAAGACACATGAATTTTTGCCACACGTTTTATTTAATATCGCATCGAAGCTTACAGTTTGAATGCGCTTGTTCCAGCCGGCATCAGTCCGAAACGCAATTTCGCGTGCAACTTTTGCAATGCAAGCTACACCCAGTACCGGAATCTGAAAGCCCACCAGAAATGCCACACCGGAGAGACGCATTGTTTTAAGTGCAACAAAACTTACATGGATAAAACGGGTCTGAGAAAGCATAATTTGCTACAGCACAGTGATCACTGGACAAAGCTCTGATGAAAGCTTTTGATCCGGACTTTTCCTCCAGAACCAATTTCACAGCGGTGGTTGTTTTCTTTTGAAATTAGCTGGATGAATATCGAGCAAGATATTTTTCGATTTAATTCTATTATAGTTCCTCTTTCTTCCTTTAATTATTTTAAATGTTAACCCTTCACTACCCAGAAAAATGTAACTTTTGAAATTATCGGGTGACAGTTTTTATCAGTTTTGCGAAAAAAAGTTTAGACTTTGTAGTTAATGATGTAACTGAACGTATTGGCGATGAAAGTCAAAAAATGCGTACCTCGATTGCGACAACTGTAAATCCCCGCCATATTTTTTTAATCACTGGTTCATTCATTTCTGAAAAAGAAATGAATTAACGTCAATGCTCAACATTTTCACTAATCATTTTTGGCAGGGAAAAATATCAGTGGAAGTCCCTTGAAATAAAATTCGTCAATTTTCCCCCTAAAAAAATGAAATTTAAGCAGAAACATTCAAAAATACCATTGCTAATCAAGGTACATGTCTCGTAATTTTCGCCTTCAATACATATACAGGTAAAATTTGAGCAACGTACCCGGCCTCTGGTTTTACCCAAGTGTTCCTAAATGAAGTAATAGACATAGAGATGAAAAATCCCCATGTGATTATACCGATTAAAAAGAATAGGCAGTGGGCATTGACACAATATCAGTGGCGTGGCGTGAATTGCGATATATCGATTGTTATGCCATTTAAACCTATGAAAAAAGAGCGATTATCAGGGTGTTCGCAGCGAACACCCTAGTAATCGATTCTTTACTATAATTTCAAATAGCGAGATATCGATAATCGATTATTCACGCCACGCCACTGATATGAAACGTGCCTCTTTTTTAATGACGATATCGTCCACGAAAATTCGTCTTTTTTAATGTCCGTCTGCCTCAATTTTTTCATTTTCCTTTTGATGCGTTTTGTTATTATCTTCAATTTTGAATGAATACAGAAACTTTTTTACCATACTTTTCGGGGTTTTTACTGTAAATTTCTAAAAATTTACAATCCGCTTATCAATTCCTATTTTTTTTTTTTTCTTTTTTTTTGAGAATGTAATGTTGAACCCTATTCATATCTTACGTGGAAGTAGTGTAATGCAGAGAAGGATAATAATTTTCGACGTGATAAGAGAGACGTGGCGTAATAGTTGGATTCAACAATACATAAAATTCAAGAAAAACACTCCAAAACATGGCATTGTATCCCCACATTTAGTGTCTTTTCCTTGTAATTTTCTGAGCCCCTATCTGTATGCATTATGCAAATATATGTATAAAGACAAGTCGATTTTACAGCGCACCCGGGCGCTCTGCGACACCTAATCGCCATCCGTGTCCTTCTATTTTATCCTTGTATTTTTAAATGAGATTTTTTTTTTAAAATTTATGTAGGCTACTCAACACAGTCCCACGGTACCAGCGATGAGCAGAATTATCCCTGCGTCTTTTGCAATGCGACCTACAAGCAGAAGCGAACTCTCCAGTCTCATATGAAGTCACACACCGGGATTACGTACTGCCATTTCTGCAATAAAAACTATTCGAATAAATCAAATTATCAATATCACATGTTACTTGTTCATAAACGTAAAGTTAAAAACTAATTTTTTTGTTTTTGTTTTTTTTTTTTGTTTTTGTTTTTGTTTTTTTGTTTTTTGTTTTTTCAGTTTTGTACTACCATTGTCCTGTATTTTCTAAGGTTTTAATGACGTATACGTTTTGTCAAAGCACCTTTAAATAAACATATTAACCAAGCAACCATATTATTTTATTTGAAGGGCCACGACCTGCACAGTCTTATACCAATTGGAAATGCAATTTTTATCCTTTTAGCACAAAATGATGTTATAAAAGTTTTTTTTTTAAGAAAAAGAAGAAGAAAGTCGGAGTCTGTCGTTTATACTGCCTCCTCAATTTGGAGTATCATTTAACCGTGTAGCACAGCAGTGTAATTTTTGGGTTCAAAAAATTACAAAATTATGAATTTGATTTTTCATTTCATTCAAAAAGGGAACGAGACGTAGGAATGGAATGTATACAGTTTTTGAAGGATCAATGACACGGACATGTTTAGTAAAAATTGTTCTAACAAATGGAGGTTTTGATTATGTTGGTTAGCAATGAAATTAATACCTCAATTTTTAGGTCCACAACGTGAATTTAAATGGGTTTTTTTTTTTATTTTTATGTAATTTGTTAGACCCAAAGTTGCTTTTTCTCCTCGATATTGTAAAAATGTCTCTTGACATGTTCTTGCAATTTATAAAAGTATAACTATAAAAATATTGTTATCCGTCATATTATTCCTAATGAGATTTTTTTTTTAAATTCGTGTAGGCTCCTCAACACAGTCCCAAGATACCAGCGATGAGCCGAATTATTCCTGCGATTTATGCAACGTGACGTACAAGTGGAAAAAAACTCTCCATTCTCATATGAAGTCACACAGAGGGCTGACGTACTGTCACTTCTGCAATAAAAATTACTCAAATGTATCAAATTTTCAGAAACACATGTTAATTTTACATAGAATAAAGCTTATATGCTAATTTATTGTTCTCATCACAATATAAGATTAGGTACCGGGAAATGAAAATTGTATCTTTTAATCCTTTCCATCGATTGCTAGTCCTCAGCATTTCTGCTAGATCGCTCGAATTCCTTGGACGTAATTATCAAATTTTTCAGTTTTTGCAGTGTCTTTTCATATCTTCGTTTTCGTTTTTCGTGTCATTCTTCCACTTAATTTTGTCAAAGAAATTAGTTATAGCTTAGTTATTTTCTTCTTCCTTTCTTTTTAGGAATATAATTTCACTTTTACTTTCGCTACCGTAATTACAAATTAATTTTATAATATTTATGTTCAAATTATTGTAGTATTCACGTATTAAAAACTTTGCTCAAGGTTACTTTTCCTGCTCACTTTGTACGTATTTGAGTACTACCGATTTGAATACAATAAATCTAAATTTTTGTATGTAGATCCATCTTCCAAATTCTTGTAAAGACGTTAATAGCCTCGGATGCCGAATGTCTATGAATAAAATAACTAACTAACTAACTAATTCACTGAAGTAGAGATCTTAGCCATTTTTGGGCTTTTCATTGGTCTCATTTATACATATAGTGCGCTTACGCCGCATTGTCTCCTGGCTATGAAGTTGAAGTTATTTAGGCGCTACAACCTCAGAATCCAATCGTATTTATATCACAGCTTACATGAAAATTTTCCTCGCACACAATCACTGAAAAATTACGCTAATCGTTCTGAGTAGATCGACTCAGCCCAGAATTAACTTCCAGTCACCTAGTTTTTGGGGGAGGAATTGCATTTCATGGCATTTTTTAGGTTTCCGCTGCATAAAGGTTTTTACTGCAAAATCATAATTTGATACAAAATCACCTTTGACTGACCATTCCACCCAGAACCCCAAGTGATACGGGCGGAAATTTTGTGGATTAGGACTAAGTACATGAGACGTTGCCTAATTTTCTCTCGTGTTTTATTTTCTAAACAGAAAACAAAGCATCACCGAAACTTGAATTTTTTGGAAAAGTCTAGGGAAAGAAATCGTGTCTAATATTCAAAATAAACGATTTATCGATTATATGGACCGCGTTAAGCAGAAAGGGACCAAGCCACATCAATTTTTTTTTTTTTAAATTTGACCGGGAAATTACATTTCCTACATGAAAACGTTTGTGCGGATTTTTGTGCTTTCAGTGAACTTGTTTCATTGTACGAAAAAACTCCTTTATTTTCAAAGGAATTCGTCCAAAAGTTCTCTTGTAAAAAATGAAATTGCCTTGGCTTGGTTCCTTTCTGCTAAACGCGGTCCATTTTGCGCTTGACCTGCATCGTGCTTTTCTCTTCCAAAAAATCATGTAATCCAGTAAATGGTCCGGCACGGTTTTATAAGTAATTAATAAAAACTAAATAACTTAGCCCATTCCTCTGTAGGATTTACAATAAAAAAGGATCGCGTTATTCGGCGTTACGGTACCGTCGGATAAAATGTTATTCGGCGGAACGGTACCCTGACCAGCAAATATTCTAAGTATCGCTAAGGTGCCTTTACCGGATAACTTTATATGACAGCTGACCGGAAAATTTCCTACCGCTAAGATGCCTTTACCGGATGACTTATTAACCGCTAACTGGAAAACTTCCTTCCGCTAAGGTGCTTTTACCAGATGACTTTTTAACTGCTACGGTTAGGCTGATGACTCGATATATTGTATCAAGTCGGGGGTCGAAACGATCGCAAAGACGGTATACTGCTTACACCTCAACTGCGCATGTATTTGAATTTCTGCCTGTGTAATATACATGGTGGAGCAAATTTTAACAGTGCCAATTTTCGTAATTCTTATAGGTTATCCGAGATGGAGAACCGCCAAAGGTTCCGGAAAGTTCGCCTGCAACTTATGCAATGCTGTGTACGCGCAAAAACGAAATCTCCAGTCCCACATGAAGTCGCACACCGGTGAAACATTCTGCTCTCAGTGCAACAAAAGCTACTCGACAAAATCCAACTTTCAACTTCACATGCAGCTCGTACACAAGCAAAAAGTGTGAAAGCTCCGAGCATTATTAGTAAGATACCTTCTTATTGTTCTTCTCAACGGGTCAGGTGTTTCTTGCAATTTTCTATTTCCTCTATTTAAATCCATTATAAAGAATCAATTCCAGGTGAGCCAGCATTTCGAGGAATATCGATCGTTTTACTTGTATTTAAAAGGACGAACTCCAGGAATCGCCACCTGTCGCAAACTGGACCTCTGGACCTTTTTGGACAAGATGTGTAACAAAGCATTTTATTGCATACCTTCTCAACGATATTTTGCATTAAATACGGAGGCCTTCTTAAACTTAATCAAAGTCTACAAAAGAAAGAGAAATTGCATCGCATCTAGCAAAAAGAAACCAGCGCGATTACAGTTTTGTAAAAATGTCGCTTCTTCATACTTTGCTAAAAAATCTCCCACAACATCAAATATCTTCCCATTAAAAAAATTGCTAGTTTTAAAGAAAAAGAATTGTCTGAATATTTATACGGTACATATATTAAGCAATTTTAAAAGAAAAGAAGAAGTCACACGATCCTTAAAACACTTCAATCGCGCTGGCTCCTTTTTGCTAAATGTGATCCAATCAGCGGTTTCCCTGTTCGCAAAATTGAAATTCCGAAATCAATCAGATCCTAAAAGGGCTTTCAAATAATTCCAACTATGAAGTAATTTTCTGAAAGTGCTGAATGTTTCATGTGAATTTGACTGCATGTGCATCAATGTAGGAAAAAGCTGTGAAACTCGCTTCTAATTGTTCCTCTAACGATTAGCTCGTTTTCAACGGCAGATGTCACGATGATCTTGATTTTTTGTCTCTCGTTTTTCCGATTGTGAAATGTTTGAATTGACTGCTTCAAACGCAAAACGCGAACAACTAACGTTATCTATTCTCTCGGTTATGAGTCGATTAGAATAATTTTTAATTTAATATGTTTTAGATTTCAACAAGATTTGTCTAGTAGTTTTACCGTCGATAAGTTGTTCCCCATTCGTTCTTGTGCTTCTAAATGTTGCTCTTTACCTTTTTATTTTTTTAATTTGTATGAATAAAATCAAGATTTTGCATTAAAAAGTGCCCAACTAACAACGCGACGCTTTAAACTTGAATTTCAGGATTTGAGGTTTTCAAGAACTCGGCCGGGCGATACGAATGCACCATATGTGGAGCCTCTTACAGTCTGAGGGTCAATCTGATGGCGCATCGAAAAGCTCATACTGGTGAAACTTACTGTGAAGCCTGCAATAAAAATTACTCCAACAAGCAGAACTTTCAGAATCACATGGCTCGATTTCACGGTGCTAGTTTTGGCAAGGGTCGTGATCGAAACACGCCCGGGTTCAGTGTTGAGGAGTGATCAGCTTTCCCTTGATATATCAGTTGCGCTGGTCACAGAATCCTATTTTGATGCCTGATTCTTGTAGAGTAACTGGAATTAATAAGATCCGTCCGAACAGCAACTGCCTACGCTCAGTATCAACCGGCTCAGTAATTCCGATTTTGACGTCATGTACCGCGGTAGAGAGACACCCTTGGTTTCTTCCACCTTGATTTTAACAGTCAGTGAAACACACATTTGTCTGTGTCACACTATCAAAACTAGCCATCAAAATATTAAGGTCAGGTGTTGTGATTGGCTTATTCGATGACTTGGACCAATCACAGCACTTGACCTCGACATTGTGATGGAGTATTTTGATAGTGTGACACAGGCGATTTGCACAGATAACTCAACGTGGAACGCGGATGAAAGCAAGGTGGAAGAAACCGAGGGTTTCACAATCGCGGTGGATGACTTCATAGACCGAATTTTTCAAAGCGCGATGTCTCGGTTAATACTAATCGTAGCAAGTTGCTGCTCGGACGGATCTCATTTTTTTAGCTATTCAACACGAATTAAGTGTCAGAATACGATTCTGTGACCAGCGCAAATGACTCATGTTCTCCTTCAGCTTTCTTCAACCGTGATTAACTCAGAAATGGGGCAGATGCAACTCACCCTGTATCATGAATAATAATTGTTAGTCTTACATTTATTCGCTCAATTATTTTCGAAAATGTTTTGTGCCATCTTATTTTTGTAAGAGTCTCATCAGTGCCGCTATTTTCAATTTTACTATGATTCTTTGATTCATAAGAGACACTCTATCAGAATATCAAACGCAATAATAATGATCAGTTTTGGGGGTTTTTTTTCAATCAATTTCGAGAAAAATTGAATTTTTGTCTATTTTATTTCTATAAGTTTCTAATCAGTCCATCATATTTTTTTCGAAATTCCGTTGATTCAGTTGGAAATTAAAGGTCAAGTTTCTTTGATCCTCAACTTTATATTATTTCGTGTTTCTAGTATCAAGATCTGATCCATGCTTTAATCAAAAAATTTCCACCTTTTTTTTGAATTACTGAACATCATAGTTTCAGTTGACTTACTCCCTTCTTTAGACCCACCTTATTCACTATTATTTGTTCATTATTTACGTAACTTTCAGTATGTTTTTTGTTCTACTATTTATGCTCTATTTCCTTTTATTACTACTTAATGAAAGATACGCCAATATGTGCCGAGATGTTATCTCTCCGTTTTATTTTATTTTTCTATCCCTCAAGTCTTGTAATTTTGTATTTTTCTTTTTTTCCTGTCTAATTTTAAACTTGAAATAAATTTTATAAAAGATTTTAATTGATTTCGCTTCATCTTTTTTTTTTTTTGGGTTAAAAAAATACTCTGCTCCAACGAATATTTTATTGCGCTGCTTATTTATTACCAGAGCTGTCACTTGTTTACAAAATTTAAACAAGCAGAAAAATCCAACATGAATATGTTGGAAAAGCGTGCCGAATAACTAAAATGTTGGACACATACCTACTATTTTCACGTCTTTGTTATTTGCATCAATTGGTACTTTTTGCTAAATTTGGGAGAAAATATTGATTCATGAACGTTGAATGTAAATTGATTTTAAAGATTCCGTCCAATTATCTTGATTTTAAGCTGATATGCGGCATTTCGCACGACCGTGATTTGGGCGAACTGCCGTGCATCGAAATCGCGTTGAGTTAATCTCTTTGGATTTTGAACTGTAACTTCTCTCCTATTCGGCCGATTTTTACAAATGAGGTCTCTTTTTATTTGTACTTTAACAGAAAGTAAGGGAAAACTCGCTAAATAGACGGAAAACAATTTTTGTGAAAATTTGGTGGATCCTGGCGTCACGGTGAATGGTTAATCGGGCGTGGAAGATAATAGGTTCGACGAGGCGACCCTCTCCTCGCCGTCTTTTATTGCCTTGCTCGAAACCTGACACCCAAAGCTATATCGGGAGATAACTGCAGTGGTTTGAGTGGATTTCTGCAGGGGCCACGGTTAGCACATGGTATATAAAGAGTCACGAGGCTCATCACAGATTGCACTTGCAGTGCAAGACGCTCATTGGCTAAACAGTTTTGGCGGGAAAGAAGCTTCTAGAGTTGAGTCCTCCGAGCGTAAGAAAGCTTCTATGAGGTTTTTGTCAAATGAAATAATACGGTTTTGACAGGAAAATGTTCTCAAGGGTTCCCAATTAGCAGTTCATTCGGTTTTTTGGTAAGAGACCATCAGGGCTTGACAGTTTAATGGTTCAAAGACAAGAAAACGGGTCCGAGGAAAAAAATATTTGGACGGCCCTTTGAATAGCATTGGTTGATCGGTGTGCTGTACTATGGTACATCCGAGTGATTTCAAAAAGCGAGCCCTACTGGCATGCTTAAAAAAGGAAACGAGGAATCGAACAATAATTCTTGGTGACGCAGCTTGTTTCACCTAAAATCGGTATTGTTAAAGGGTTTAAAAGGAGGAAATACTACTAGGAATACTTGCAAACTGGAAAAATTGTCACTGCGTCAGAAAAGCGACGATATCTCGCTTTTACATATTTCCAATGGGCGACATCCGTTACGGTACTTTCCAGTCTGAAGTTTCAATGAATTCTCACAAATGTGATATCAGCTAGTATTGGTACGGCTACATATATTATGGTTCATTTTCTCCCATTAATTTTCACATCTCGATAATGAATGCTTCTCAAAGACGCAAAGTTCTTAGCAACGCAACGTAGTAGTGAATATCGTCCCTATAGATGAGAAACTTAGAATTGAAAAAGGCAGAGAAGCTTAGAATCACTTTTATCTCATTTAACAGCGTGATAACGGAATGTTTGTGTATTTTTTGTAGGAACATCAAAGTCTTACACCCATATTCGGGACCCTGTAACTGGATTGAAAAAGTTTCAATGTCATTGTGGAGCATCCTACAGACACTTGCCGAGTCTATACAGCCATCAAAAGTCACACAAAGGCCTCACGACCTGTGCAGAATGTGGGAAGACTTTCAAAGGAAGCACCGGCTATCGTGCTCACTTAATACTGGTGCACGGCACCCAAGAAACTTGACTGCTCCCGTGGATAAGTGACCTTATTCCATTGAGAAAAAACTGTCATTATATGGATTTCTGCAGAGTCTGGTAAAAAATAAAAGGATTTTGAAATTTCGATCAGAAACTCTCTTGAACGTAAATTAAATAAGAAGTTGCAAGCGGTTAAGCTAATTTTAGTGCCAATAATTGAACCGCATCTAATAGAAAAGAACCAGGCTATACATCAGCTATTAGTAGGAACTTATGCAAAACACACAACGCCAAAGTGTTATGAGATTCAAGTAACTATTTAGATCCGTAGCTTTTCGATCTTTGTGATCATTATCATGGCTTAGGCTCTGTGCAGAAACAAGAGACCCTCCACTCGTATCTCGGATACGGCGGAAGCTTTTACTTTCGGGACTTCAACATTTAACTGTTATGACTTACCTACATGATTGATGTTTAACAACGTGTTGGCAGTTTCGTTTCGCAAACAAGCTGAAGTTTGGGAAACTTGTTTGGCTCATGACGTCACCCGAAGCTCAACAATGTTTTTAGATTTTTTAACACTCCACTATTCTTCTTTTTGCTTTCTAATTGCTTGATGTAGTGCTACTTCCTAAGCCTTGATAATTATCACAAAGATCGAAAAGCTTCGGCTCTGAATAAAAATTTTAATCTCATAACACCTTGGAGTTGTGTTTTACAGAACTTCCTAAGTACTAATTCATTACTGTTGGTACGGTGATATTTATCAAAATGTTCAAATGCATCAACTATTTCCAAATTTAACTTGGCACTTTAATTTTTTACAAGAAAAAAGTTGTGCGGATTTCTTTGAAAATTTCAATGAGTTTGCTTCGCACTACCCAGAAAATTCACTGAAAGCACTTAAATCCAAACAACCGTTTTCACGTAAGAAGAAAAAAAATAAAGAATGTGTTAGGTAAATTGAATCAGTCAGGACGGAAACACACCAACTCGGTAACTCGAAAATGCTCAATTCCCATTAAAGACAGTTGATTTACACGAAGGTCATTGAAGTTAGCGCATCTGTTCCAACTTGGACCTTTAAAGTGGCCATAAGTGCTTGTCTGTCGGGAGCAAACATTTTTTTCTCAAACTAACCTTTTGACCTATTCTGCAGTTTTGTGTATGTCTTGATTATTTTCATTTTTCCGAGTTGGTGTATCTTCGTTCTCACTGATCGAAGTGTATCCTCACTGCATAGGGACTCCACGAAAAGAATCCGCTGAAAAATGCTGCCCGATCAAGAAGAGTCTAACCTGGACTTCCGTTTTATAATGAAATTGCAAGCCTTATTTTTTAGTAATCTGATGGCGGTTCGAATTTTAGTCATGAAGTAAAGTTGTAACTGAAAGCGTGTGAACTTTTTCTGTTCTTAGGCACATCAATTACGTACACGATTGTGTTAGGCCATGATACTGGGCGGAAGAAATTTCGATGCCATTGTGGAGCAACCTACAGACACATAACGAGTCTATACAACCATCAAAAATCGCACAGAGGCCTAACGACCTGTCCGGAATGTGGAAAGACTTTCAAAGGAAGCACCGGGTATCGTTCCCACGTAATGCATGTACATGGTATGCGAGAGATTTGATGCTTGGATATCGATGGACAGTTTATTCGGGCAACTTCACTGACAAACTATTTATATTGATTGCTGAAGTCGAAAATATGTAGTTCATGCATCATTACTGATCTCAGAAATGTTCCATTTTTCTCTTAAAGAAGTCATAAAGAAATGAATCAGTTTCAAGAGCAAGTGAGGTACATGCTTGTCTCCTTTAATTTGAACCCTATATTCAGCCCTGAAAAAGATTCATTTTCTTCTTGAATTATGTTAAATATGCTCGGGTATCGAGTCCTCTCATTTTCTTTATAACTGTTTTTTCCTTTCTTCAAAATTGTATATTGTATCTGATCCTAGATCAGTAGACCACTTCCTCTCGTCATGCAATGGACTACTAGACAAGGTACGAAGTCAAGCATTCTGATACATGTTTCTTAACCAAAATTTAACGTAAAACACGATTCAAGCAGCGAAAATTATTTAAATTGACTCTTAAACAAGATTTTTAATGTTACTTGACGCGTGAATTCAAACCTCCCGCTCATGTAAACACAATGGTCTACGTACTTCAGATCGCAAACTGAACATTACCGTGGCAGTCTCTGCGATACGAAAATATGGATTTCTCAATTTTGACGCTTTAGCTCAGTCGTAGCAAATTGTTTAAATTTTGAACAATACAGAGTGAAAAATGAACAATATTCGATTGAGGAACCTGCCAAAACCGTTGTAGTACTGTGTTTTTCGTGACCGGACACTTCAAATCTCCCGTAACCAGTATAAAATTAAAACGGAAATATCTTAGTTAGGAGTTGATATCAATAATTTTAGATGCAAAAATCGTGTTCTATGTGAGATTCTGGTCGAGAAGCATGTATCAGAATGCTTAAATTCGTACTTTGCCTAGTGGTCAATCCTAATGTACTGAACTGTAACAAGTATGTCGTCCATTTGAGAAGAAGCATTTCTAATTAGTAGCTTGATTTACCATTAATAATTTATGCCATCCTGTAGTACAATTGAATCCAATAAAGACAATTTATCGGTTTATTTCGCCTATAATTCTGTTTGCTTTAGCCTTTTCATTTTACAATATCTGCACCCGAATTAATAAATTTAGGTTGAACTTGCGTCTGCAAAAATGCCTCGTGTCCCTTTCAAACTACGATACAGCTTTTTTGGTTCTAATATAGAATATCAGCATAGTTACCCAACTTTCATGTCACTTTCATTTTAATGAGCTGCTGTATATCTTTCCTCACCCAGAGTCGGACTGGCCGACTTGAAAAGGGGATGGTGATCGTCATTAAGTGAGGAAATCAAAATAGCTCTTAAAATTGTGTCAAGTGTCAAAATACCTATACATAAACTTTTCTAAGATCGATAAAAAATTATTTTCTTCCAAACTTTTACCTTTTTGGTAACATAGAGACGCTTTATCACCCCCCTTCCTCATCCGCCAAGTGTCACTCTCTCAGAAGAGGTATTACAGTCAAGTTTTAGACTCGCGCCCTTTTGATCACTTGAGAAACTTCTAACATTTTTTGTATTTTCAAAATGATAATAGATGAGGGCACATCCTATTTTTAACTGTGTTGCTCACATAGCCCTTGAAACACCACTACAAATGAAACAAACGAAACTAACACTATTTAGATATAGAGCAATTGGATAGACGGCGCAGAGATACAACTATTCGTGGTTGATGGATGTCTGTGTTGCATCTGCAAAATTGAAGGCGCGATGGCCCAAGCTATGAATTCGCGATGTTTCGCAGCTCCGTTTTACGCTGCCAATGAAGTGTCGTGAGAAAAGTTTGAAAAATGAGGCTAGATTATTACGGCTCTCCTATTTAAGGCTGTGTTGCTCATACAGTCTTTAAAGCACCGCTAAAAATACAAATAAGACAAACTGAAACAGACACGGTATGGAAATAGAGCAAAGTAAAAGGAGGCGCATTGATGACGGCGCAGAGATACAACTATTCGTACATGATGGATGTCCGTGTTGCATCTGCAAAATTGAAGGCGCGATGGCGCTATGCGGCAACTCGCCATGCTCCTTCCTATGCTTGTCCCAGTTAGTGTAACCAGTTACTGTACCCAGTTTTTGTAAAAATACAGAAAATAAAATTGTGCCTTTAATCAGTTTGCCTCTTCTTTCATGTCTCCACCTTCGATATATCGATTTATCTATCATTTAAACTTGTGGAAATGGATCGATAAAGAGAACATTTGCAACGAACACCTTAAAAATCGATTCTTTACCAAAGCTCCACACGGGGAAATATCGATAATCGATCACTCACGCTTCGCCACAGACCGGAATCTTCCTGCAAAATAACCCAGGCAGGACCATGCATTAAGCTAGTTGATTCATTCTTTCTATAGGGACAAAATAATACCTGTGGCGTAGCAAGACATTTTTAATGCGGCGGAGAGGGGGGGGGGAGGATCAAAGGTCAGAAATTTCTTATGGATTCCAAGGAAAAAAAATTCCTAAAAACCACAAGAAAAAAGTTCTCTTTTTGGGGAGGGGGGATGTTCCAGTCATGGGGGCTCTAGACCCCATGAACCATGAACCCCCCTCCCATTAGCCACATCGAACCAATGTTGCCGTCCTAAGGAAAAATGCACTGTGAAAATTTGATAGTTGCCAAATTTTCTCGGACAAAGCATTTATAGCGGAAAGTTGTGAATAGTTTTCTGAAATTGACAGGTTTGGTAAGTACTTGAGATTCAATTTCGGGTAAAATTGTAAACAATAAAAAAAAATTTCTCCAGCTTTCCTTGAAAATATGTACTTTATCGTAGGAAATTTGACATCATCCCCGAGTCCATAGGGCCCCCTGGTGAACTCGCGGCATGGAGTTGCCTCGAGCAAGTTCAAGCAACCCCACGTGGCATGGGGTTACATGGACAGGACTGCCGATTCTAGTAAAAGCTGAATGAGCTGCGTGTAGTCATTTCAAGTTAGTCCACGCAACCACCATCCATATGTTTTTTCAAAGCGAGCAAGTCAACACTTCTGATGAGCCATGAAATGAATATATTCGCACGGAGTCTAGGGCTCATCTGAAAATGGACATGTTGCCTTTAATAAAATTTGGATTCATGAGAATACAACAATTACTCGTTAAAAGTAGAATGCATTGAGAATTACTTAGAATTCTTAAACTTAAAAATTTACTTCAACACAGCTTAGAACATCAGGGAGCTGGAGGTAACTTAATGCCGCGTGTAATTCACTTCCACCAGGGGCGTTCTTCTTTAGCTCTATAGAATGAGTGGATCTTTTCGTCTTTACGTATGTTTTCAGAATTGGTACATATTAAGGGTGAGAGGGTCGTTAAATAAGAGCACGTTGAAGGAAACCTTGAAGTAAAATGTTTCGAATAAGTAGGCTAAAATTCATTCTCCGTCATTCGAATTTTTCGTTATCAGAACATGCCGACCCGGCGATGCGTTACTTTAGAATTTAACTTCAACTTAAGGTACCTTTTAGAAATTGCACTTGGACTAAACGTACGACCGTTGGTTCGTCTTTCGTAAATTATCAGTTATATAGTGTGGCACGTTTATTCTTTTTAGGAAAACCACCCCAACTTTACACAGTTGTGATAAACGAAGTATCCGGTACGGCTCAGTACCGATGTGACATTTGCGGAGCAATTTACAAACACCAAGCGAGTATGTACAACCATCAACAGTGGCACAGCGGACTAACGACCTGCAATGCGTGTGGAAAGTCTTTCAAAGGCAAAAATAGTTACCGTGAGCATTTACGACTGAAACACAACCTTCGCGAAATTCAGTTAAATTGAAAATCCATCGTCGAACAGCTTTAGGCATAAGCTGGATTTCCGCCTTGTTTATTGTAACTTCTGGAAGAACACAGAAAATAAAATCATGTCTATAACTACTCTACCTTTTTTGTAATTTCTGTTTCCGTTCATCTACCCTTGCATTAACTACGTGTGTGACACGATTCGTTACCTAATATTTTGTTTGACTTACCGTCAGAAAAATGTAAAAGTCACCGAAAGTCAAGAGTGGCATTAACGGGGGAAAGAGATCCGTTGCCCATAAAATACATTGTTGCTTCTCTGATGTAAGAGCGTATCTCAATTTACGTATGAGCCCTGAAGAATATACTTAGAGTTTTACGGAAAGCAGGGCTTAAAGGGAAATAGAGATACGCCCTTACTTCAGAGGAGCGAAGCTATGCTCGATTCCAGGTCCTACAGACTTCTCCAGTCACATATAAATTTTGCGGCATCTGAGGGCTGATTATTGACATTGATAGGCAAAGCAAAAAGAGGAAAAATTCAAAGGAAAAATGAAGCAATCCAAGCGGTCGAAGCAGGTGGTTGCGCTAAACAAAGGAGGTAAGTAATAGCCTACCTATTGGCACAGGAAAGATCCCATAGTTGTTCCGCAATTTTCTCCCATAGTCTATAGAAAAACCCTGTTATTCAATCAATAGAATCGCTCCTTTTTTCCATCGTATTCTTTGTCTATAGCTTTGCCTATCAGTTTCAGTAACCCGTCCCAGTTATTTCCGTTTCCGTCCTAATTATGATCAAGGTGGTAGTGTGCAGTAAAAGATTACATTTGTGGGTTTTTTTTTCAGACTTCATGACAAGAATTCGTTCCGAGCCAGGTTTCTTTCAATGCTCAATTTGTGGATCATCTTACAAGCATATGAGAAGCTTGCAGGATCATCTGAAATCCCATGGTGGCTTAACAACCTGCCCCAAATGCGGGAAAAATTTCAAGTCCAAAAAAGCTTTAGTCGATCACTTACGCCTAAATCACGGTTTGGTGCGTCAACCAGGCGCTCAATATTATCGTGCGTCTTGAAAACGACCGAAACAGTGACCGATCGAAGGTTCTCGCAAGCAGTGGTGAAGCGTGATAATCGAGTTTTGATATTATCCCATTTAAGCTATGGTAAAGAATCGATTATTATGGTGTTCTTTCCGAAAACCCTGACAATCGATCTTTTTTCGTAGGTTTGAATGGCAGATCGATCGATATATCGCAAAGCACACCTTGCCACTGCTTGCAAGTTGGTTACAAAGAGTCTTGTTGGTTAAATTGGTTGTTTGGTCTTGGATATTCATCGGAACAGTCCACACTGAGGATCGATTATTTGGTCGTATTTCAGCCCGACGGAACTATTTGCATCAAAACATGAGCCCTGCGGCCCGTAAGAATGTATGCATAACAGGGCTCACGTCATAATGCAAATAGTTCCGTTCGGCAGAAATACGTCCATTTATAAGGATTTAACTTTGAGAGAAACATGTTGATAAATTGACAAAAATTGCATCATAAATTTCGCTGTTTTTACTTATGTGTCCATTCTGTCCATTATTTGTGAAGTATCAACCTTGTTCATTTTTTCGTAGATTCAAAACTACTTCAATAAAATTTTTCATTCGCCCGTCTTTAAATTTTTCTTCTGTCATAATACATTTTTCATATCATTTAAAAAAATGACGTTTCGTTCACTTTTGGAAATTTAAAGAACATTTTACATTAGTTCCACCATCGCAAGAGGATCAAAATAAATTACTGATTCTTTAAATTTTTTCTTGTTTTTCTTTTTTCCTTTTGTTCTCCCCTTCTTCATTTCTTCTTCAATGCCGCAAAAATTAACTAAACTTAGGGAAATGAAATAGTCCTTAAAGTAAACGTCTTCTCCTATCGCAAAGAGAGAAAGAGAAGGTCTTTGGAGTACCTCTAAAAGGACAATATTCCCATGCCTATGGCTCATCGGTTTTAGATTTTCATAACACTCTCAAGGACCAGTATAAAAAAACCTGATGAAGAGGAATTGGTATAGTGAAAAATGAATCATAATCACAGTGAAATCTTCTGCAAAAATATCCATCAAAATTTGCTCCCAGCTTATTTTTCATGAACTTTGCGACGAGTGGAATCTACTAATGGGGTCTAAGAAGACTCAAATTGATCTAGGTCTTTCGGCATAGCCCCAGCTTGATATTCGAGTGCATCTGCCTTAAGGCCTAGATACACAAGGCGATTAATCGCAAG